GGGACAATGACGTGAGCATACCGTTCATGACTTGTATTGATTTCTTCGATGTCGGGGTCGGGAGGTCGGAGAACGCTCGACATTTGTCTAGGTTGGCTTCAATTCCTCGTTCTGTTAGGTAGAATCCGAGGAATTTCCCCGCCTTGACTCCGAACGTGCATTTTTCGGGGTTGAATCTCATCTTACATTGTCTTGCTTGGGCGAAGACTGCCTTGAGATGTGCTGCATGATCGGTGTCTGCTCGAGATTTGACGATCATGTCGTCCATGTAGACCTCGAGCATGTCTCTAATCTGCTTGTGGAAAACCCTGTTCATCATACGTTGGTAAGTTGCCCCGGCGTTTTTTAGTCCAAAGGGCATTACATTGTAGTAATAATTGCCCGAGCTGGTCATGAAAGTCGTGCAGTGTTTGTCGCCCATGGCCATCGGGATTTTGTTATAGCCCGAGTAGGCATCCATGAACGACAACGTTTTGTAGCCGGCAGAGTTGTCGACCAACATATATATGTTCGGTAAAGGGAAAGCATCTTTCGGGCAAGCCCGGTTGAGGTCGGTATAGTCAACACACATCCTCCATTTTCCATTATTCTTTTAACAAGTACAACATTTGACAGCCAGGTTGAATACCGGGCTTCAGAAATAAAATTCGCCTTTAGGAGGTCTTTTACAGCTTTTTCAGCAGCCTCCGTTTTCTCCGGAGACTGCCTACGCCTACGTTGTACTACGGCCTTAGCGGCATGATCTATGGCGAGACGGTGACAGACGACCTCAGGGTCGAGTCCGGGCATCTCCGCGGCGCTCCAGGCGAATAGGTCAGCATTCTCGCGCAAGCAGGCTTTGATCTGCTTCCTTGCTAGGTCGGGGAGGTCGATTCCAATCTTTACTCCTTTGCTCGAGTATGCGCCGAGGGGGACGAGCTCAAAGTCCCCGTTCGGTATCGGTCGAAGGGGAATTTGCTCGCCGTTGGGAGGTTCATCCTGATCGAAACGAGCATCCAGAGCTATAGAGTCGACATTTGGTGGAGCTTTCTGGACTTCCTCTTTGGCGGGCTCTGGCTTGTCGGACTCTTATCGTGTCGTCGCCGGTCTCTTGGCGGGCCTTGTCCCGACGTCGACAGTGTCGTGTCCCTTAGACGCGGCGTTGAAACACCTCCGAGCAGCGGCTAGGTCTCCCTGGATAGTAGCTACCCGTGCCTTTTTGGTGTAGAACTTCATCTTCAGGTGGACGGTGGAGGGCACCGCTGTCAGTTCTGCCAGTGTTGGTCTCCCCAGGATGCAGTTGTAGAGGGACGGGCAGTCGATGACGAGGAAGTGTACTTTAACCTGCCTTGTCGCTGTGCCTTCTCCGAAGGTAACCATGAGCTCAACATATCCCCAAGGTTTGGAGGTCGAGCCGTTGAAGCCCTGTAAGTCCGACCCTACATACGGCGATAGATGGGAGTCGTCCAGCTGTAGAGTTCAGAACAATTGGTTATACATTACGTCGACGGAACTTCCTTCATCGACGAGGATGCGATGAACATAGAAGTTAGCCATTCTTGCCCTTATTAGCAGGGGAATGACTGCGTTGGGGGCTCCCCCGGGGAGTTCTTCCAGGTAGAAGGTGATGGGCTCCGACCTACCTTTTACCCTCTCAAATGTCACTGTTTGCGGAGGTGCCGCGTCGACCAGTTCATCCAGCTTCCTTTTAGCCGAATTGATAATCAGGTCGTTGAATCCTCCACCATTGATGACCATGGCGGAGGGGAAATATTCCCACCTACTGTGTGTTATGAGCGGCTCCTGCAGGTGTTCGGGGACGTTGAAGTCCTCGGGTCTGGTGATGGAGAAGGCGGTCTGGACGGGGATCGACTCGTCAGATGGTTGGGCGTCATCCTCCAGTTCTCTTGCTTCTCGGGCGTCACGGCGAGGAGCATCGTTTCGCCAGTATTGTGCGAGCCTCCCTCCCTTGATGAGGGTTTCAATGGAGTCCTTGAGGTGGACGCAATCTTCAGTCAGATGACCATGGCTCCTGTGGTACTGACAATACTTGCTCTTGTCCGCTCCGGGCTTGGCGGGAGCAGGTCGGAGACGTTTGACACCGCCGTCTTTAAAGTCCGTGTTGGCATAATCTGCCAAAATGCGCTTGCAGGAAGCTGTGAGCGGAGTGTATTCGGTAAAACACCCTGAGGGTCCTCTTTGCTCTCGGACTTCTTGGGGTCTGTCCTCTTTTCTTTTCTCCCCGGTTCGTCGAGGAGGAGCAGCTTCCTGGCGCGGGTTGCTGCTGGATCCGCGAGTCCTGGGGTCTCGGGCTCTGTTGGCCGCCTCCCTCTCCTCGTAATCCATGTACGCTCGCGCCTTCTCGAGGAGGGCATCAAATGTTCTAGGTAGCTCGATGCCCACTGCCTTTCTGAATTCTGTGCCGGAGAGGAGCCCCCTCTCCAGCAAATATCTTTTCATGTGGTCCGCGCAGGGGACTTGTATGGCTTCGCGGTTGAAGCGATTGATAAACTCTCAGGGTTTCATCTTGTCTCTGGATGATGGCCTCGAGGGCCGCCTCGGTCTTTGGGTGTCACCGAGACGCAGTGAACGAACTTATGAATTGGTTCTTCAGGTTTCGCCACGAGGTGATGGATCTCGGAGCGAGGCCTTTATACCAGCCCATTGCTGCCTTTCTGAGGGTCGTGGGGAACAGCCAGCATTTGATGGGTCCCCCGATATTGTGGTAGTGCAGCATAGCTTCGAACCCGTCGATGTGGTCGACCGGGTCCGCGACTCCGTCATATTCCTTCAGATGTGGAGGCTTCTCCATGCCCCGGGGTATGGGCGCCTCCATGATTGCTTGTGACAGGGGACCGCAAGGGTCATCCTCGTCACTTCGCTCCAGGGAGAGTGATGGGGACCTGTAATATTGCCGAGCCCGACGGTCCTGGTCGTGATGGGCATCTCTCGAGCGTGGTGCTCGTTGGTTGATTCTTCCATATCTGTCTCCGAAGTGTCTTCTTTCTTGTTGTGTGGGAGCGTGGTTGTGTCCCCCGACTTCAATGATGGGTTGCCTCTCTAAAGGGGGCCGTCTCCCTGAGGGTCGGGGCGACGGGCTACGGGAGGTATCTTTGTAGTGTCTCCGCGGGGGAGACGGGAGATGTACCTCTGTTACTCGAGGAGGTGGAGTTTGGGGCCTTCTGTGTCTCCTCGTAGGTCTTCGATCGTCTTCTAGTGCCCTAAATCTTTCCCCTTGGGCGAAGATGAGGTAATTCGTCTGATTGATCACCGCAAACAGCGCGCGGGTTGTGGCATCAGCCCCGGCGGGGACAAGGACTTCCTAAAATTGGGCAGCTCGATGGTTTGTGGGAGCTGCATTGTCTTCTTCGAGCGGTAGAGGGACCGAGGAGGATGATGCAGTAACTCCGTCGCGGTGGGCTGAGGGCCCGGGGGCAGTTCCCACCGGGAGGGTATTATGACCGGCGTTATCGGGGTGTCCGTTCTTATCTGCGAGGCCGTTGTTGGTGTCGACGACGCGGATGTTTTGTTCATCACGAACTTGGTCAGCCATGACGGTGATAGTTGAGTTGAGCTTTGGTCTTCGAGTTTTTGTAAGACGGGGAAGCTAGGCTCCCACAGACGGCGCCACTGATCTTACCGGATCAGACTTGGACCGTCACGACTGGCTCCGAGCTGAAGTTGAACGAGATGGGGAGGGTACCTGCAAGGCACTCTGATGCTAAAGTGAGTGGTAGTACGAGCAGGAAAAAATTGTGTATATGGGTAAGAGAATGAATACCTGACCCTCTAGGAATAAAGGGTATTTATAGCCCCCAGCGCGGGGCCAAGGTCCCTTCATTGGGTCGGCCAGGACTGGCCCAATAAAGGAACTGCCAGGTTCTACGTGCATAGTGGAGACCCGCACGTGGTCCCCTTCCTGGTGATGCTCTGCGAGAAGTACGGAAGGACGAGGATGCGGTCTTTCCGGAGTTCAATGGATGGAGTAACGGTCATAGTCTGCCCTACGAGGAAGGTGCCCGAGCTGGGCTCGAGCTGAATTTCATATGGTCGACGACGTCGTGTTCGCGGGCAGTGGCGGACACGACTTTAGCTTCTGATCAACGCGCTGGTGGACATCTTCGGACGCGCGCCTCTTGTAGAGTTGCTTGGATTGGGCCTTCGTTCTTGCTCTTGGGCCAGGACGGACCCAGTCCATAACAAAAGGTAACATACATCTAATATAAATATATAAACTTTAAAGTATTTAATAATGACATTACTAATCTTTTGATTAAAATCTTTAATTTTATTAATTGTAAAGATAAATTTGTCTTTTCCACTATTAAATTCTTTATATTATTTTGATATTAAATGTTACTGACTTGACACACCCATTTTTTTTTTTGGTTGATAATTTATAATTAATTTATTTAAAAAAAAACTTAATTACATTAATTTAATAGTCATGCATATTAATTATTCTTTTTTATTTTTAATATAACTATCACTCTTTTCACTATGTTAAATGTATAGGGAGATGAAAAGGTACAAAAGAAATGAAAAGACAAAAGATAATAATGTATATTTTCACCTCCACGTTTTGATAATTAAGGCACCATTTTTTTCACATCATAAAACATAACTCTAATTTAACTTTTCAATATTTTTTCACCTACCAACTCCATCTCTTTTCAAGATTTCAGATTACCAATAACAACATTACACCAAAAATTCTCAACACAAAAATCTCACCGTCATACTCCATGAACCACACTTCTTTCAGATCACCAAGTTTCCTACATATTTCCACCTATAACCACCATGTTAATTCAAACATGAAACCATATCTCAAACTTCATTCACCAAAATTCCAATTTCATTCTCAACACTCCATCAATTTATCAAACCAGTCCACCATCACCATTTAACATTAATACCACCATGTCAATATTCTTCTAAAAATATATATAAACCTTAATCATAAACTTACTAATGTCCATCTACCATTAACATTCAAAACTCCTTACAGATCTTCAGCATCATGAAATTTTCTGCAAAATCAAATCAAATTAAATTGAAAGTCGTGATTGAGTACTGGAATTAAACAGAAACAAAAGAGAAGAGAAAGACAAAGTTTCAACCACTTGCAACTGTCGGAGATCACCACCACACACAACCGAGCCATCCAGTTCTGGCGATCATGAGCAGAATCTCCATACATCGACAACTTCACGGTGACTATGCACCAATCCGCGGACCACTTGCTTTCAAGCCCGCGAATCTGCAAGGTCCCTTGCTACGAAACGTTACTGTGCACCCCACGTATGCTACGACGTGAATCCACGACACCACTATTAAAACTATGCACACACCCAGACCACAACCGACACGACTACACCATATTTTGTCATCACCACCATCGTTTTCTTCCATTCCCGTTAAGTGCTTTGAGTTTTTTATTATTATTATGTATTGAAAGAGAGAGATGATAGCTTATGGTTGTTTTGTTTTTCTTCTTTCTACACAAAAAATTGATTCACAGTAGAAAGAGAGAAATACTGTGAGAAAATAGAAAGAGAAGTTAGAGTATAAAGTGAAAGAGCGAATTAATTAGATTTTTTTTACTTTATGTTATTCACTAAGTTTATGTATTCATTCTTTTGTTTTTATCTATTTATTTTTAAAAGAAAGTGGCATGTGTCAGCTTCTCTTTGGACCTTTTAGAAAACAATTTTATGGGATACAGAATGATTGAAATTTTGACGGAGTATTTTATGGATGGGGATATACGATTCTTTTTCTTCTCTATGCCAGAAATAATTTATGAAAGCGTTTTTTTTGGGTTTTAAAAGCGCTTAAAAGCGTTCTCGTAGGTGGCGCTGCTAAAGGTTTTAGCAGCGTTTTTTGTTCAGAAAAAAGCGTTCTCGTAGACCTACCTATGAAAGCGCTTTTTGGTAAAAAGCGCTTTCATAGGTAGGCCTACGAGAGCGTTTTTTTCTAAAAAAGCGCTTTTATAGGTGTATTCAGAATGCGTGTCAGGCAATCTAAAGTAGGCCTATAAGAGCGCTTTTTGTTCAGAAAAAAGCGCTCTCGTAGGCTTACATATGAAAGCGCTTTTAATCAAAAAGCTTTCATAGGTAGGCCTACGAGAGCGTTTTTTTCTTAAAAGCGCTTTCATAGGTTTTCTACTGAAAAATCTAAAATTTAAAAAATTTCTAAACCTGCATTTTTTTGCAGCAAACCTGTAATTCTTAAACCGGTATTTTACAGTCTAATCTAGAAATACCAATATATATTAGTTTTAATCCAAATACCAAATGTAATTCAAATACCAAATATTATATATGTATACAAATACCATTATAATCAATTCATATCCAAAATATATATACACCATGGTAATTCAATATTAACATGTTTTTAAACGTAACAAAATACACCCTAAGAAATCAGCTATATAACACTAAGTAAATCAATCATAATCTACATATATATCCAAGGTCCTGATCCTGCAATATGAACATAATAACACGGTCAGTGTTGTATACACAAAACAATATATTCATAATTAACCAATTTTCACACAACAATGTATTCGTACCTTATTATAAGATTCTTAGCTCAATAAAATATTGGCACAACTCCTCTTTGAGTTCTTCCAATTGACGTGGCGAGTAATATGGACAATTGTATTGATCAAAATACTACATTACAAAACAAAATATATGCATGATTTAGTTTAATATAATAAATTATATGCAAAATCCGATAAGTAATAAAACAAAGTATAAATCCATACCGTGATTGGAATCTCGATTTCATTCATTTGAATGATTTCTTTGATAAACTTCAAAATGAAGTATCTGCAATCTATGTCGTTTTGTTGTTGAGGGCACTACATAGAAAAACAAATAAGATTATACACATCTATTGATTTATCAAGTAGCATAAATGTTATAAGCAAAATTGTTGAAATTTATATACCTGTACTTTGATCCAATTAATGTTGTTTGATTTAGACCGTGGTACTCGTGCTTCCCTTTGACATCAGAATACTTGTATTGAACTGATGACAAAATTAAAATATTTATTTAAAACAATGACATTGAAATAATTAAATATATAAACACAAACGAATATTTAGAATAATGTCACTTACGTATCAATCACTAGCTTCATTTCCGGATAATTTGTCCAATCACCGTCAACCGAATTCAGGTAATAGACCACTTCTTTTATGGGATTGATTGCAAGCAACAACCAGTGACATCTATAAATTAAAGCAATAATTTAGAAGTGAATTTTAATGTAAAAAATACAAATATTAAAAGGAGCTTAGAATGAAAATCTAACCCTGTATTATAAGGCAAAAGATACAAGCTCTATGTACTGGCAGTTGTCATGAATCTTTCGACCAAGTGTTCTCTTACTGAATCAGGTTCCCTAGAAATTGTTGCTCCGCTGACACGGGAGGAAGACACGAAACGGAATCTATTTGACAATTGATTCCCGCGCATCAATTTGTCAAATAACATCCTTAAATAAAAACATAATTAATATTAGACTATTTCAATTAAATGTTTAAAAAAAATGTTCAACCAATTAAATAATATATTGATCGGGTTATCGGATGTACGAGTGCATCACACTGATGCCTAACTCTCGATGATGAAAGATTTGTTCCATGTCCTCTAATCCAATTGTTTCGATACATGGAAAACCAAAGACAATTTCATCCACATCAATTTGACGAATTCCATCATTCATCAAATCTGATGTGCCAACTAGTGTCTCCAGACACTGTCGATACCTAGGCACAAATTTACGGACAGGAACCTTCTTCTTAGGTGGAACCCTACTAACTTTCTGGCTCACCTGCTGTGACTGATCTTGAGAAGGTACCTTAAAAATCATATAGAATTATGTAAGATACAAAGTTATGCAGTTTTTTGTTCCGATCATAAATGAAACACTTTAAAAGTACCTGTCTTTGTGATGCAATAGACTCGCCGCGCTGCAAAATCCCTTTATCCTTAGATGCGGGTTTTGTAGGAGTCTAAAATTACCATGTATAAAATTCAGGTCAGAACTGTCATTTGAATACTTAAAGATTCATAATGGTTTTCAACATACCTGATCATCTATGCAGATGAGGTCTGATGGCCATGCCACAAAAGATCCTACTGCATCTCGCATCAATGTGGTCTCTGCAACAATGTCAGGTACCGGTAGCAATGCATTCATATCTAAAACAACATCAACCGATACCTTCATGTGGCCATCCGGGAGCGGTCTATGGTGAATTAAATCTCCTGAGGTGTTGTGCACTTTTCCCTTGCCAACTACCCGATAAGTCGGAGACGCTAGATACAGCTGACAACATGAAATGCCCTAAACCAATAATAACCGTTAGACTTCCTTTAATGTTGACAATAATAACCGTTATAATTATATTTTCTCTAAATATAATGGATTATCATCTTAATTACCTCGGGAAAATTTTGTTGACAGTTGATACTAGCCTTGTCACTAGTTTCTTTCAACTGTGAACTGCTCCTTTCTGCCATATATCTCTCTTTGTCCCTCTGCAGTTCACGGACTTGTGCTTGTAAATCCTGCAATGTTTGCATCACTTCTGCATTGCTAGGATTTCTTTTTCTTGGATTGTTATACAGAGAGGTAGGAGTCACACCATGACCTTTACCCCTCACTCGTCCCGGATACTCAGCAACACATAGTGCTCGACTGAGTACGCTCCTGATATTCGGGTCATCACCCGTGGATACCGATTGTGATATAGTCTCCTGTAATTCATTTAAATATCGATAATTAAAGACACAACGTTAATTATATATTAATTAAAGACATAATGGTATACTTACACACTCATCATAAATATGTTGCAGATCGGGGTTAACAACTTGATCTCTGCCAACACGAGCTTCCTTCCACAGCACATGTGCAGGTAGTGATGTTTCGTCACTCTACGTCTCCTCCAACTACGCATTGTTACAAATAATAAAATCATCAATACACATTGTTACAAATTAATAATACACATTGAGATAATTAATAAGATCGTAGAATTGAGATTTACTTACAATTTTTTCCTGTAAGCGTGCATATCCCAAACGACCTTTTTTTATATGGATATGCGGGTTTTGACGCTCTCTCCCGATTTACAGCACTCACTTTCTTGAAATTCTCGTCTCTTCTTTGGCCCACAAAAGCAACCCATTTTTCGGGTGTAATGAAGCTCTCATATTTATTTGGTCGTTCAGGATCCTCTTCAACAAAATTTCCTTCATCGTCTTTAAGAAACTTATTTGTCAAAAAATTTCTCCACCCTCTATGTCTTTTTCCGGCCAAGCCCATTATATACTTTTTGCGGGCATCTTCAATGTTAAAAGACCTCTACAAAAAAACATACGCATAGAGGGTGTTAGTATATGTAATTTAAAAACAATATTTTCGTCAAAATAAAGCAAATAACAACAACCATATATGATACCTTTATCTCGGTCCAAATTCTTTCTTTAGCATCCAACTCTCCTTTTTTCCAGCTAGGAGTGGTGATCGGAATGTGCATACGAACAAGCGTACCGATGTAGCTTGTCAGCTTTGCAGAATTAGGCCCAATTAGTTGGTCATCATTATTCCAATCTACATTATACATAATACCTCTATCTCTATCACAGATGATTCCCCGCATGATAGTTATGCCTCGTGTGATGTCCTTATCTGAAGTGTCTTGTGGAACATTATCTTGTGGAACATCTCCTTGTGGAACATTTTCTGAATTATCTTGGTTACTAGCCATTTGACCTGTAATAAAGAAAAATTAGATTAAATTAAATGACATGTATAAAATTCCATAAAGCAAAAAAATGAAATGACGTATATTTAAATTTTACTGGATGATATAGGCTATATATATTATACTATAATGAAAAAAATGAAATGATATAGGCTATATATATTATACTATAATGAAAAAAATGAAATGGCATATATATACATTTTATTGAATGACATTGTCTATAATTATATATACTATTACCTTTTTCACTAACATCTCTTTCTTTTCTTGGTAGGAATATGTTCTACTCGTCTCTTAACAACGCGGACGGTTGGATTGATCCAAATACCGTCATTATGATCATTTCTAATGCATGATTCATTCTCATTTTGAACATTTCTGGTAAAAGATTCTATGTCAACACCAGTATCGCCTTGGTCTCCAATCTTTTCATCAATTACTTTGTTAGAGAAAAGCACTATAGACCATTTCGTACTTGTCGAATCAGTGACATAGAACACTTGTTTAGCTTGAGAGGCTAGAATGAAAGGCTCATCTTTGTACCCCGCCCTGTTAAGATCCACTTGCAAAAATCCTGACTTATCCATCCGTATACCATTATTATTTTCAACCC